CTTTTAAGATCAATGACCGTAAAATATTGATTCCCCCCTAGGTTAGATAGGACTTCCGTCACCTCGGGAATCGGATATTTATCCGGTATGGTGACGGCGTTGAGCTTTCTAAAGTCAACGACCAAACGATATTTTTTTCGACCAGAACTGTCCTCCTTTTTGGGCACTACCCAAATAGGGGAGTTGTACGGGGATCTGGATGGTCTTATGATGCCATCCCGAAGGAGACGACGAATCTCTTCCTCCACGACATCTTTTAATGCCATTGGGTAAGGATAACTTCGCGTATAGATTGGAGATTCGTTTTCAGTTCGGATTTCTCCAACCACAACAGAGGTGTATGTTAATCTCTCATCCGGATCTGAGAACAGGTTCCGGTGCTGCCTTGCAATATTATTGAGAGAACTCCTCTGACTTAATGATAGATGATCAGCCTCCAGCTCCAGACTATTAACATTCTGGGATATTCTCTGTCTAATGGCAATTTTCTTGCCACCTCTTACTTGGAAATAATCTTCGGAAGTATGAATTACTGCCGATAATTCCTTCAAGCTGTCATTCCCCAAAATCCCGTCGAAAGATACCAAACCAGGTAGAAGGAAGAATTTTAGTGGGACGTCATTGACGCCGAACATGTTAAGAAGAGTGTGGTGTGAAACTTCCACATCGCCGCCTACAGATTTTACGCTAAACCTATTGTCATTCAACTTGGGTCTCAGGACCAAAGTTGGTCTTATATAATTTTTACTGCTTCCTGTATCCAATAAAAAGTCTAATGTCTTCCCGTCCCTCGTTTTGACTTGAAAGTATGGCAACGAGGAACAGTTTAATCTAAAAAATTCATATCTATGAAGTTGGCTGGAATGTCATCGGGGTTACGTTCCTGGTAATCGTCCGGTATTATATCCTGTTGTCCGTAATTCCCTGTGTCATTTTCGTCTACTGGCTGATAGTCACTGTTGTCTCGGTAATCGTCGATATTTGGGGATTGGTTCTCAATATCTGGGTATTGATTATCCACGTTTACATGAAAATTACGCTGAATCTTATTCATAGGAGTCTGTACCGAAAACTGGGCAGGTCTTTTAAAATTCTGGTTCTGTTGGGGTCTTACTTGTATTGACCTGTCAATATCCATGGGTTCTGGCTTACTCTGGTTATTGTAAAATTGTGAGGGAAATTGCCTAAATTGGTTCTGAGGAAAATTCTGGGTTCCCGTATAAGGACGAGTGATTTGGTGTCCTCCCATCTGATTTCGTTGAAAGAATTGCTGAGGACGATGAACAAATGGTTGTCCCCCAAACTGAGGACGCTGATTCTGCATATTCAAATTGTTCGGAAATGGAAAAGCTGGGGATACTCTAGGCCTATGAGTCGGAATATTTGCCAATTCTGGGTAAAATTTCGAACCAGTTGACATCCTCAATGGTTCCTGTCTATGGCCTCCCTTCTGGGCATAATCTCTCCGAAATGCCATATTGTCTAGCTTCAAACAAAGATGTAGAGCCTCTGGTAGAGATGTAGGACCCTTGACACTGAGCAGCCTAGGAAGGTCGCCGTTCAGGCCTCTTATGAAGGTATCAAGTGCCTTCTCTCGATATGTATTCGTCATGGCTCTGAGACTACCGTCGTCCAATTCCAGGCAGGAAACCTTATCCAAAATTAGAGATAGTGTTTGATAGACGTCCTGATAGAACTCTGTGACACCTCTGTGCCCCTGACACAAAACATTCATTTGGTACTCTAGTGTACCTATATCTCGTTTATCCGCGTAGTGCACCATCAGACATTTGCGTATTTTGGCCCAATCCAATGGAGTCCTATAGGATTCTAAAGCAGTATCGGCCTCACCTATAATTTTCGTACGAATTGTATGCAAAATTGCGTAGTATTTCCCGGTACCACGAAGTGATGAGTATAAATCAATCACCCTTTCGACTGATTTCCTCCAAGAGCTGAATTCTCCGGGTTTTCCCGAAAATTCCCTCAAGGATTTCACTATATCTGGAACTTTGTCCAGTTCCTCCAGTCTCGAGGAGACTGTTCCTACCGGTATGTCACTACCATCGTCAAACGTTTCGTCTTGTCCGGCCAAAAGGTTTGTAATCATTCGTGTGATTTCATTTCTTTGTCTGTCCGTGAGTGCTGAACTACCTGATGTAAGGGTGTTTGCCCTTGTTTGAGTCTCCATGTTATTTGAAGATGGATTTATCGTAATTCTATTTAATTTTGCGGCAATATCATCCACTGATTCTAACATTTTTTCTCTTTATCAAAAGGAAAGGTGGAGCTATCAAAGTTATGTTATTTATCAGTATTGGGAAAAAAAATTTCATAGGTAACAAATAACTATAACTATAAAATGTTAGGAACTAAATTTGTTCTTAATTTGAATTCTTAAAGTTATTCTTACAATAGCAGCATCATTAGAGTCTGGAGTAGCATCCTTCTAGTACAGATGAGATGAGATGAGATGAGATGATCGTTTTTCTTAGTCCTTTCAAAGTTTTCAAAGTTTTGTTGTGTCCGATTTTTTTCACTTTTATTTATAAATTGTTAAAGTATTTAATATTGTTCAAACAATTTTTTTATTTTAATTTTTATTTCTGTCTTAACTTTATTTTTATTTATATTCATTCAAACTTATTTAAATTGCTTTATTTTTTATCTCTTTTTTTTATAATTTCTCACAATTGTTTCTCTTTTATTTCTCACTTCATTTAATTTACTTTGCATTTAAGTTTTCACAAGTTTTTTTTTTTTTTTTTAAGTTTTCATTTTGTAATTATCATTTTAATTTCCTTTATTTTGATACTTTTTTTTTTTAATTTTTTTTTTAAATTCTCACTGTTTACACTAGAATATATTCATTTAAATGTTTACTCCGTTTTCAAATTTGTAACGGACTTTCGTGTACGACTGTGTGATATTCATCATACAGTCGTACTGTCAAATCATAACGAGTGACATTTTTCAAACGCCACTTGCGACATCTTGGCTTGCTCGTTGTTGTTTGACACTTACTTGTTTTTTGGATTACGTCCTAACAACAACGAGCTTTCTCAGCAACATTTTAAAAAAGGTAAGAATATTGTTCTACGACAATATTCACTCAAATAAATAAAACTATCCAATATTTCTATTGGACAAAATACTAAAAATTGTTTGTTTCTTTTCCTATATTTTTTGGTGCTATTTCCACTTTTCCCCTTTGCTACGCAAACATTTGGTCCATTGCGAGCCGGATAAGTGCAACAAGAAATAATAAGGATTTCTGCTTTTTTTCCCAAAAGGTTTGACTACGTCAATACGTAGAGCAGAAGCAACATTTCCTCATCAAAACATCAACAAAAATTACAAACAGGTACGTACAGTGCAATTTAGTGAGCGAAGTGTTACATTTATTTCAAAAGAAAACCAAAAAAATCGCTTAACCTACGGTCGTCCAAACAGTGCCGCGCAGTGTTGTTGTTCGCTTTTAATATTCACATACGAATATACGTATGTATGTAATTATTTCTATTTTCGTTACGCGAAAATAAAATAAAAATACCAACAAAGCGCATCAACTAATATCCAGTGATCTGTGTTGTTATTATTCTAAAAAGAAGAATATTAAAGTGATTGATATTGCAAAAAACAAAATTGAAACAAAAGAAAATAAGAAAAAAAGTGCAATAACAATTCAACTACCATTCGCCTAACGTTGAGTGGTCATAAAAAATAACAACAACAACACATCACTGCAGTGCCTAGTTGATGCTCGATCGCTGCTTACGTTGGTAGGCACATACATACGCACGCAGACACAGCAAGCGCTAATGTACGAGGGGTCGTTTTGAAAGTATTAAATACGATATTAGAATAAAATTCAATAAATATTTTTGTGGAAAATTATATATCGATTTTTTTGATTTTTTTGGAGATTTCGGTGCGTGTCGTAGCTAAATAAATTTCTTACACCCTACATTCGGTAACATCGATTATTTTTTAAAATATTTACAGATTATTTTATAATATATAATAAAATATTTTACCAGTTTTTTCTCAAATTTTGAAATTTATTTCGCAATTTTTTGTTAACTGGTTGCCGCTACTTGTGCATTTTACAGTCCGTGCACCCTATGATCGGCATTTTTAACTAAAATTGCTATTTTTGAGAAAAAAGTTAATTTTTTGTGAAAAATTTGGTTGTTTTGCAGGATTTGTTAATTCTTCTACTAGATTTTTCTAAAATTTATAAAAATTTGTGTTCGCTCCAATACACTGAGGTAAATTTTAGTGTATTTTCGCTACACTGAGAAAAATTGTTGTTGAATTTTTTATAATATTCGCAATTTTAATACTATTTTTGCATTGTTTTTTGACAATTCCGAAGAATTACGTTCTTCTTATCGTTGAATTTACTAAAAATCTGAGATTTTGGAAAAAAATATTGTTGAAATATTTGCACATATTAGTGCTTTTTCTTTCAATTTGAAACAAATTTATTTCCATTTTTTGCTAAAAGTTTTTAGACTTTCGTCATTTTTGTTTTCTTTCTTGATTTTTAATAATTTTTTAAAATGTCGCTTACTCCTCTTGACTTTTTCATCCGAGCAACTGACGCTCTAGTCAAGTTCTCTGCAAACTTTTCTGACCTACGGGATGAAGACCTTGATATCTATTCACTTGAGATTCAAGGAAGTGAAGCAAAAGAACTTTGGAGTAAGGTGAAACAGTTATTTGATAAATGTTTAAACTATTTGCAAACATCGGAAGACGCATGTGCAGAGGACATCACTTCAGCTGACAGTAAGTATGATGTCGCTTATAAAGCTTTTCTGCAAGTGTTGTCTGCCATCAATAGAAAGGTAGATGAAATTAAAAATAAGTCTAAAACGTCTGTTCCTCATTCTAATGCCGATCAGCCACCAACTACACCCCGTGTAGATTCTCCTCTAGCGGATGATGTCTATTCGATCTCAGAAGCTTCACAAAAATCCTCTAGTCATAGGGACATGGATGGCATTTCACTTAATGATAGCTTGACTCATAGCCTTAATTTGCCTCCGTGTGACATAGATGTGTTCAGTGGTGACTTTCTTTCGTGGCCCACTTTTAGGGATTTCTTCTCAGCTGTCTATATTAACAATTCTCGCTTGAGCGAAATTGAAAAATTGTGCCACCTTCTTAAGAAAACGAGTGGCGAAGCTCGAGATATAGTCTCTAAGTTCCCATTGATGCATAAAAGTTTCAATTTAGCCTGGAAAGCTTTGAAAGAAGCATATGATAATGTGCGTATTTTGGTAAATAATCAACTAAAAGTTCTATTCGATCTTCCAGTTCTTGAAAATGAGTCAAGTTCAGGTTTGAAAAATTTGCAGCGTGGAATTAATAGTTGTGTTTCCGCTATGGTTATTTATGACGTGCCAACCGACGGTTGGGATCCAATTTTGGTATTTTTGTGTCTGCAAAGACTCCCCCAACAAACAGTTACACTGTGGGAACAAAGCGTCAAGAATAAGTCAGCGCTATCATCTTGGAATGATCTGAACAATTTTCTTTCGGAAAGAGTTCAGACATTAACTTGCCTGAGAGATATCAAAGGTATAGCTGATTCCAAGAAGGTTGATAATAAAAAGGTTCGGGCACATTTTACAAATGCTGCCAGTTCTCGTTCTACTAATTCTGCCAATTCAAATCGTTCGTCTCCTGAAAAAACTTGCGTGTTATGTCCATCGCAGTCTCATCATTTAAGATCATGTCCCGAGTTCAGAAATCGTTCTCTTTCAGATCGTTTATCTATAGTTAAACGTCATCATTGTTGCATTAATTGCCTCTCCAGGGGTCATGATGTAAAAAATTGTAGCAGCACTCATAGTTGTGCTAAGTGTAATCGAAGACATCACACTTTGCTACACCGGGAAGCTTTTCAAGTTTCCAGATCTGCAAATAATGTACCACCATCCTCTCACGGCCCGTCCGGTTCTGCTCCTGCTCCTCGTCTACCAGAAACTGCCAATTTTAACCCGAATCTTCCATCTACGTCTTCTGGCCAACAATCTAGTTCCGTAAATAGACAGGTGTTTCATACGTCACAAAATAGGACGGTTCTCTTGGGCACAGCTATGGTGAATATTGTTCACCAGGGTATGACGTATCCAGCTCGCGCCTTAATTGATCCTGCTTCTGAAGCATCCTTTATTTCTGCTAGATTACAACAGCGTTTGGGTATTTCTACAACTTCCACTCAAGCAACTGTTTCAGGTGTTAATCAAACTGTTTCAACATTGTCGAGGAAACTGTGTTCTTTTGGTATTTCTTCATCCATAGATAGTTCAGTACTTATGAAAATTACAGCGTTGGTAGTTCCTACCATCTCTGGAAATCTTCCATCCTTTGTGGTTAGTACTGAATTTTCTTCCAGGTTGCCAAATCTACGTTTGGCTGACACCCAATTATTCGACTGTAGACCAGTTGATATGTTATTAGGTGCTGATATTTATCCTAAAATTCTCTTACAGGGAATGCAATCTAATATTATGGGTTCTTTAATTGCGCAAAATACTGTGTTCGGCTGGATCATTACTGGTCCCATTTCTTCTAGCAACATCAGAGTATTTTCTACTAATGTAGCATATTCTGAAGAAGATGCTCTTAACAAGACACTTCTTCGATTTTGGGAACTGGAAGAAGTTCCAAAGCGCTCAATCTTGTCTCCTGCCGAAAAATACTGTGAGGAAAATTATAAAAATACTACTAGAAGGGATTCTAATGGCAGATATATTGTCACTCTTCCCATAAAACCAGAATTATTTGGTCAACCTTATCTTGGCCATTCTAGAGCAAATTGTCTACGACAATTCATTCGAAATGAGGCTTCTCTGCTTAAAAAACCAAATATTAAACAAATATATGATGGGGTGGTTAGGGAATATATAGATTTAGATCACATGAGATCAGTTTCAATCCCTTCCGCAAACTCTACGGTTTGCTATTTGCCTCACCATGCAGTAATTAATCCAGAGAAACAAACTACCAAATTACGGGTGGTTTTTAATGCCTCTAATAAAACTTCAAATGGTAAAAGCTTGAATGATGTGCTCTATGTCGGTCCGACTCTTCAAATAGATCTAGTTCTACTCATACTGAGATGGAGAGTATTCAAATATGTATTTAATTGCGACATTACTCAAATGTATCGCCAAATTTTAGTAGATTCAGCTCAAACGCCTCTTCAGCGTATTCTTTTCCGGGATTCTCCCGACCAGCCTATTCAAGATTTTGAGTTGAAAACGGTGACCTTTGGAGTAAATTGTGCTCCATATCTAGCTATTCGTACTTTGTTGCAGTTAGCAGATGACACCGAAGATGAATTTCCTCTTGCAGCGCATATCCTGCGGAAATGCATGTACGTCGACGACGTACTGACAGGGTATCACAACTTAGAAACAGCGCATCTTTCTAGAGACCAATTAATACGTGTCCTATCTTCAGCTAAATTTGAGTTGCGGAAATGGACTTCTAATGACCGTTCTATACTAGAAGGTCTTTCAGCTGAACACCTAATAGACACTAAACTTTTAGATTTTGTTGAAGCCAGCAGTTCTAAGCCTCTCGGCATTCGTTGGAATGCTCAACTAGACGTATTTTATTTCAATGTAAAACCACTTGCTAAAAAATCCACATATACTAAACGAGAAGTGCTTTCTACTATTGCCAAATTGTTTGATCCTATTGGGTGGCTAGGACCTGTTCTAATTGTAGCCAAAATTATAATGCAACGCATTTGGTTAGATCACATCGATTGGGATGATTCTCTTCTGTCTACGACAATGGGTGCTTGGCAGAAATTCGTTGAGACGTATCAGGACGTCAATTATATTCAAATTCCACGATGGGTCAATTATGTTCCAGATTGCTCTGCCGAACTTCATATTTTTTCTGATGCCTCAGAGAAGGCATATGCGGGGGTGGTATACATTCGTAATATTGCTTCCAATGGTAACATTTCTACACATTTGTTGTCCTGTAAAACTAAAGTAGCTCCTATCAAGTCGATTTCTCTTCCACGTCTAGAATTGTGTGGTGCGGTCTTGGCCTCCGAACTCTTCAAAGCCATTATCGCTGAGATTGATATTAGATTTTCGAAAACTTACTTTTGGACCGATTCTACGATCGTTCTATCTTGGTTAAAGAAAATTCCGTCAACTTGGTCAACCTTTGTTGCGAATAGGGTCTCCAAGATACAGGACAACGTTGGTCAAAATGTTTGGCATCATGTATCGTCAGAAGATAATCCTGCTGATTTGGGAAGTCGCGGACTTACGCCCGCTGAATTGGCTTCTTCACAAATTTGGTGGTACGGACCACATTGGCTCCGTTTAAACAGTTCTGAATGGAGGTTACGTGACTTGTCCGCTCTTGATACGGATGTAGAAATTCGTGCGGTTAAAAGTCATTTTTCCTACTTCGAAAATTTCGTTGATGTTTTAGACAATTTTTCATCGTTAGATAAGGCTTTACGAGTCGTCTCATTCGTTTTTAGATTTTTTTACAAAATACATCCTTCTACTGGTCAAAATATTGTTCAAGGACAAGCTCCTTCGAGCTCCGAACTGAAAAATATTAAATTAAGGCTTATTGTTTTGGCTCAAAAAGCGTATTATGCCGAAGAATATAGTTCTTTATCTAACAATAGGTCCTTAAATTCAAAAAGTTCGATTTTGTCCTTGAATCCGTTCCTGGATGATGCAGGTGTTATGAGGCTAAATGGACGTTTAGTTCGATCACCTACTCTCTCGTACTCAGAACGGCATCCTATTTTGCTTCCCTATCATTGTAAATTCGCTCGTCTTCTTGTTGAGAAAATGCATTTAATTTCCATTCACGGTGGAAATCAATTAATGTTGCGTCTTATTCGCAGTGAATACTGGATTCCCAGATTAACCTCACTCATTCGCAAAGTAATTAGTAATTGTAAACCTTGCATTTTAGAAAAGAAAAAAGCTTGTACTCAGATTATGGCTGCTCTTCCCCCGGAACGAACAACTATAACGCGACCATTTGCCACTACAGGTGTCGATTTTGCTGGTCCTTTTGACCTTAAATCTTTTACTGGTCGCTGCTGTAAAATTACGAAAGGTTATGTTTGTGTTTTTGTTTGCTTTTCTACGAAAGCAATACATTTAGAAGCTGCCTCTGATTTGTCGACGACAACATTTCTAGCAGCATTTCACAGGTTCATTTCGCGACGCGGATGTCCTAAGACTGTCTTTTCTGACAATGGCACCAATTTCGTTGGTGCTTCTCGAGAATTTGAGCGTGAATTCAAATCACTTGTTCATGAAAGTCGCGATCGGGTATGTTCCGCATACCAGTATCAAGAGCTTTCGTGGAAGGTCATCCCGGCTGGTGCCCCACATATGGGCGGCCTCTGGGAAGCTGCGGTGAAAAGTTTTAAAAAACATTTTCGAAAACACGCTATAAACATTAAATATACTTTTGAAGAGTTCTCTACGGTTCTCTCGCGCATAGAAGCTTGTTTAAATTCTCGACCGCTTTGTCCGATGAGCGATAGTCTGGATAGTTATTTGGCTTTAACTCCAGGTCATTTTTTGATAGGATCTCCTATTTTATCCCCTCCGGAACCACTAATACAAGAATCTCCCTTGCATATCGTCAATCGGTATAGAAAACTTAAGGCGCTTACTCAACAGTTCTGCCTACGGTGGAAGGAAGAGTATTTAAAAAGTCTCCATAAACGCTATAAATGGAAATTTCCTCAGCGCGATATACAAACGGACGATTTAGTAGTAATTCGACAAGAACAATTATCTCCAACATCCTGGAAATTAGGTCGGGTCATCAATGTTTTTCCCGGTACAGACGGTCGCGTTCGTGTCGCCGACGTAAAAACTGAAAATGGCATTGTGCGGCGTCCGGTGGTTAAGCTGGTCGCTTTGACCAATTAGATGTTTGTTTCCTCGCCATCTTTATTTTTTTTTCGTAGCATGGAAAATCAAAACAAGATGGTCGCTACTCTTCCTGACTATGAGGAAGATGTCCCCATGTCGGATGAGGAAAGAGATGTCGATGATATGGTTTTGGTTCCCCTTACGGATATTGAACTTGCTCCCAATTGTTGCACTGGTACCAATGTTGATGCTGCCGCTACTCACAATGAGCCTGCTCTCGCAGCTTGTGCTGCTGTTATTCAGCCTGAGACAGCAATGCAGCCTACGGCAGGGATGTCTTCTGCGCCAACCACTCCTCGACGAGTAATTACACCGGGTGGTTCAGATAGACGCTCTGACAGCAAAGACCCAGTGGCGACGCCGAAATCAACTGCGGGCTCAACGGGTTCCAGTAAGCGCCGCTGTAGTTGGTGTCACCAAAAACACCATCTTCGGCAATGCGGGCGTTTTAAGAGGCTCAGCTTGGATAAGAAGATCCGAACCGTGGTCAAGCACTTGTGCTGTTCCAATTGTTTGGACTCGGACCACTTACTTCGTGATTGCCGCAAAGATCCAGGCTGCAAGCAATGCAAGGGCAAGCATCACAACCTGCTCCATCCTTCTGCCCAACTTTCCCAACAAAATAATAAAAACAATTATAATAAAGATAATAATAATAATATTAATAATAAAAATAAAAATGCAAATAATAAAAATAACAATAATAATATTAATAAAGATAATATTAATAATAATGGTCCGTCTACGTCTTCACGTAGCAACAAACGTCCGTCCGTACAGAGTAATCCGTCCGCTTTTTCGTCGCATGTAACTACGTTACATAGCATGGCAATCCAACCTATTATCACAATAGGGCCAACTATCGTCGCTCAATTGGTCTCCCCCACAAAAATAATTCCCGTCCGAGCAATGCTGGACCCATGTGCAGATAGTAGTCAAATCTGCAATACGCTGGTCAAGTCATTGCGACTGCACTCCATCCCAGTCGGGTCCGACCGGTTTGCCCAATTCACACTGGTCTCGACCTTCGACTCCGCCCAACGATTGTCGGTATCCGCTCGGGTTACGAATTTAACCCGTCGTTTGTCCCCAAGTCAATCTGCCTCGGAATCGATAAAGGAGCACTACCAAGGTATGATGCTAGCGGATCCACAATTCTTTAAAGCGTCCCGAGTCGCCGTGGTGTTGGGTGCTGAAGTGTACCCTAAAGTTATGAAGACCCAGGTCTACTCGAGCCCTGGATTCCCATGGGCCCAACTTACCATTTTTGGATGGGTATTGTCGGGTCCATGCCCAATGTGATTTCTTGCTGGGACACTTTCGCTAGAAGAGCTCGCCCGTGCCAATCGACAATTTTTATTGCGCGGCAATGTGCCGCTTGCTCTACGAGCGCAATATTATCAAAACAAAGAAAAAATGAATAATAAAATTGAAATTTGAATTTTAAATAAGAAAAAAAATGTAAAATGAATTTATATTTTTATGTAATTAATTTAAATTGCAACATAGCAAGATGTTGCAAGGCTGGCGGCAATGTTTACACTAGAATATATTCATTTAAATGTTTACTCCGTTTTCAAATTTGTAACGGACTTTCGTGTACGACTGTGTGATATTCATCATACAGTCGTACTGTCAAATCATAACGAGTGACATTTTTCAAACGCCACTTGCGACATCTTGGCTTGCTCGTTGTTGTTTGACACTTACTTGTTTTTTGGATTACGTCCTAACAACAACGAGCTTTCTCAGCAACATTTTAAAAAAGGTAAGAATATTGTTCTACGACAATATTCACTCAAATAAATAAAACTATCCAATATTTCTATTGGACAAAATACTAAAAATTGTTTGTTTCTTTTCCTATATTTTTTGGTGCTATTTCCACTTTTCCCCTTTGCTACGCAAACACTCACTTTTTATTTAATTTAATTTACTTTGTTTTTTAATTTTTCAGGAGTTTTTTTATTTTCTTTAATAGTTTTTCATTTTTCACAATTCTTGTATCAATGTTTTTATTTTACTTTCACTTTTTTTAAAATTTTTATTTGTAAACTACCGTAATCTAGTGATCCACGTCGCGGGCTTTAGGGGCTGTAACATAACGTTACGTCCTTTTCACAATTAAGTTACTGGGGCGCCACCTGAAGGCTTGACTTTTGTCGGAAATCCTTTCTTCGGGTTTCGAGTACCTGTTTAAAAACAGGTCCCTGCTCTCGGGCGCCAATTAATTCAATGTTAATTTATTTATTTTTTTAAAAATTTGTGATTGCTGCTTACTGCAAGCAATCACGTCTTTATTGGTTAAGGTTCCGGACTACAAAGTAAATAATGAAATAAAACTACCCTAACTTATACTTTGGATTCATGCACCCAGATGATACTGGACACCTGCTCGTGTTGGCGATGGAATGTTGCTGTCTGCCTGTTGGATGTTGTTGTCAGTGTTTCGGTGGGAACTGCAGTGTCAGCAAAATGACACGCTTATACTTTGGTTGATGAATTCTTTGGGTTGCTAATGTTGAATTTGAATATGTCTGGTGTTAACTTGTATACCAACTTCCTAGACGTCATCAGAATATGGAACAGCCCCGCTGTCTCCAGAACAGCAACTTTTACTGCATCATTTAACGCCACATAATGGTGTTTTAATTCCACATAATACATTATTCTTGCAATGCAATTCCAACGGACTCCGAAGTAAAATTGTTAAGATGGTGGAATTCATGAATCGGAGGAATATCTTAAACGTATACCTGAGGTGCAGGTTCAATGAAAAGTGTTGCGTACCTGTTACACCATTCTGTTAAACACAAACCTAACTCGCCTGAGCCGAACACGGAATGTGTGGGGGTAGCACTCAAGTGTGGACTTGCCGAGGTAGAGGTGCTTAATATGTATATCCCGCCGGTTAATAGTTGCAAACCGCGTTGTTTTCCTAATATAAATCCGCTTTCGGAAGGCAATAACCGCCTAGTGCTAGGGGATTTCAGTGCTCACCATGAGTTGTGGCGTTTCGTCCTAGGTAATAACCCGAGGGGATCAGCTGTGGCAGAGCGGATTGACTGCTCCACATTTTGAGAAGAGTGTCACAGTTCGACAGATTTAATTATTGTGTCAAGGGGTCTAATAAATGACTTGACTTGTAAATCTGTAATTTCCCTTGGCTTAGACGATCTCCCGATAATCGCCTCCAGGTCAGCTGATTTGTTAGCTTCTGAACGCCGCACTTTCCTTAATCATGGGAAAGCTCACTGGCCACAACTTAGAGAGTTCACCAACCTTCTCTTCCGAGAACTTCCGAACCCTTCTGATATTCGGGTAACAAAAAGGATTTTTCGGAACATCATCAAAGCTGCATTCACTCACTATATATCTGCTGGTCGAATACCCGATATAAGACCAAAATTTCCCGACAGAGGCAGCCAGAATTGCGTATGAGTGTGATGAGCTCCGGCGTACCAACCTTACAGATCCCCGAGTCAGTGAACCGATTGTGGAAGTCAACAGGTTGATACAGGAGCACAAGCGAAAAAGTGGCTAGGCCATCTCAAGTCTTTGCAACATTGGAACCGATATCAGTAATTTTGGTAATGTTTATCGCCAATTTGCCGAGACTAGGGTGACAGGTCGAAACTAAGTTACGATGGGTGTCATCCAAAACGCTAAGTCGTCGAAAGCTGTGGTCCTGGACGGAATATTAGTAACGTTAAAGCAGTTGCATACACAGGGAGATGAGTGTCTCACTAAAGTCTTCAACCTGTCGTTAGCCACTCACATAGTTCCCTAAGCGTGAAAAATAGGCAGGGCGGTCCCGCTACTGAAGCCAGGCAAGGATACCAGCAAAGGCGAATCATACAGGCCAAATGTTGGACAGTCAATTATATGTGGGGACGTAGAATTCTTAAACAGGTAGTCCAGACCTCGTAGAGTGAAAAAGGGAGTTCCCCAAGGTGGGGTGATATCTCGGGAACTGTTTAACATCTACCTTTGCAGAGTTGAGGCAACATTGAGATCGTAACTTATGCGGATGACAGTACGATCATGGCGTCGGTTCCTGTCGTTGATGACATATGTGTTAGGGTGAACAGCTATCTCGTTGAGCTTGCTTCCTTTTACTGTGCAAGGAATATGAAGATATCCGCCACCAAATGAATATCCACCAGAGATTAAAACACAACTGAATGTGCGGGTCAAGGGGCACTTAATTCTGACCACTCACTATCCCAAAATCCTTAGGGTCACATTTGGAAGAATGTTCAAGTCGTCCGCGCAAGCCACATCGATCTGCGATAAATTTAAAAGTAGAAACAAGGTCCTAACATATATGGGGCGTGGATAAGGAAACCTTGTTGACCTCTCATAAACCGACCTATCGTTCTGTGGTTAGCTATGTAGCACTAGAATACGAATGTGACACAATGGAAAAGTATTCAGACCTGCTAGAATGTCGCACATGGTGCCTCCTCATAACACATGTGGACCTTTTACATGAGGAGACGAAGTTTCTTCCCCAACATCAGTCAAATCATATGATTTGTGTTTCAGTACCTGCTTGGGTATTATCGTGGGAGCCATATTAATATTATATGGTACACACATCTCTTTCACCCAGGGGTGACAGGATCAAGATATAATCACAGTAACCATCAACAACTGTCTAGAGACACCATCTACGTTCAGGATGGTGCAGCTTCAAAGTTACTCAAAATTTTGACCCTCTGTGGTGGAGGTACCAGAAGGAGTAGACTGATATACCAGACCTTGGGTTAATAAAAATATTGTGATGTGTGTAATTTGAAGAGAACTCGATGCTTATTTAGGATATTATGATCATTTTGATTATATAAAACTTTGACCCTCTGTGGGAAAGATAGCAGAAGAAATGGTCCGATATCTACCATCTCTATAACAGATCTTTTATTGATGAAAATATTCAGACGTGCTAAGTCTGAATGGAATCGTAAATTAATTTCGTGTTTTATGGGCTTCATGAA